GCCAACAACCAAATCTTCTACTACTGATGCACCAACAACAGAATCATCTACTACTGATGCACCGACAACTGAATCATCTACTACCAATGCACCAACTACAGAGGCATCGGCAACTGAAGTACCAACATCTAAATCTTCTACGACTGATAAACCGACTACGACAGCATCAACTGCTGAAGTACAAACAACAGAACCATCCACTACCAACGCACCAACAACAGAATCATCTACTACTAATTCACCTACATCCGAATCATCTACTACTGGTGCACCAACTACAGAGTCATCTACTACTGATGCACCAACAACAGAATCATCGACTACTGATGCACCAACAACCGAATCATCTACTACCGATGCACCAACTACAGAGGCATCGACAACTGAAGTACCAACAACCGAATCTTTTACAACTGATAAACCGACTACAGCAGCATCAACTACTGAAGTACAAACAACAGAACCATCCACTACTGACACACCAACAACAGAATCATCTACTACTGATTCACCTACAACCGAATCATCTACTACTGGTGCACCAACTACTGAGTCATCTACTACTGATGCACCAACAACAGAACCATCCACTACTGACGCACCAACAACAGAATCTACTACTAATTCACCTACAACTGAATCATCTACTACCAGTGCACCTACTACTGAGTCATCTACTACTAATGCACCAACAACAGAATCTTCTACTACTGATGCACCGCTAACCGAATCATCTACTACTGATGCACCAACAACTGAATCATCAACTACTGATGCACCAACTACAGAAGCATCGACAACTGAAATACCAACAACCGAATCTTCTACTACTGATGCACCAACAACCGAATCATCTACTACTGATGCACTAACTACCGAGGCATCGACAACTGAAGTACCAACAACCGAATCTTCTACGACTGATGAACAGACTACAACAGCATCAACTACTGAATTACAAACAACAGAACCATCCACTACTGACGCACCAACAACAGAATCATCTACTACTGATTCACCTACAACTGAATCATCTACGACTAATAAACCGACTACAGCAGCATCAACTACTGAAGTACAAACAACAGAACCATCCACTACCGACCCACCAACAACAGAATCATCTACTACTGATTCACCTACAACCGAATCATCTACTA